TTTATTTTTTATTACAAAAAAGTATCTGTGAAATGCAGAACCAAATCAAATGACGAATAATATCAATTCAAGGTCAATATTTGAGGATAACTTTGCAGAACGGTTGTGACTGAGTGTGCAGAGATGCTTGCTGTTATTTGATAACTTTCAGAAGAACCGCATCTTTTCGCCAGAGGCAACGGGCTAAAGTGATAATAAAATTTTTTTGTTTTGTATTTCCGAATTATGAAAAAGCATCCGTGAAGTGCCGAACATAAGCGTATTCAAACGAAAAAATCGGCAACCAAAAATTTGGTTAATGTAAACAATACTGTGGTTAATGTAAACAATACTGTGGTTAATATTACCAAATCATTATTGAAAATATTAACCAAGGCATTGTTAATATTAACCAAAAATCACGTTGATTGCTTTTCAAGTTTGAATTTGGTAATATTAACCAATTTTTGGTTGATTGTTTTCTCAGTGTAAGGACATACCGGTCTATGTGTGGCTCAACGTCGGGCAAATTAGCCTAAACAAATATATGTATGCAAGTGCTCTTATGTACGTATGTATAGTACATACAAAATAAACGGTGTATGTGTGCATTTTAGTAGATTTCTACTGTTTTATCTCAGGGTCTAATTATTATCACCTCATCCACCAAAAAGGTCACTTTTATATAAAAGTGTGCCAAACTTTGGTAAACAATTGAATGTGTTAATTATAGGTATTATAACGCCAAACAATGCGCCATTCTTCACCAAAAAGTCGGCATGAAAACACAGAAAAAAATCATAATAAATAAGAACTGGCTTGGGGAGTGAAGGGCAGGTGTGGTTTGTGGTGTTAGTGCACGAAAGTTATGGTCAAGTGCTTCGAGGAAAATTAGAAAAAGGGTGCACATGGATGTACATATGTATGTACATATGTATGTATGTATATCTCTTTAAGCAACTTTAAATGCAATCAAGAGGATAGTCGTAACAAAAACCAAAAATCAAGAACAGAACAATGCCGGTAGAAAAATTTAGATACATACATATATATGTACATATGCTTATAGCCAAAGTAGCTTTTATGTCAAATCTTGGTACTAATCAAACAATTGAAAAACAAATACATAAGTACATATATATGCAAGTAGGTACAACGAATCTATTGCTGCTGCAATTCGTTCTAAATGCTGATCAGTGATGCAGTACAGCAGCGCGAATGGCGAATATTTGAGTAGGCGACTTGTGAGGTTGAAGGTTGAAACAACAACAGCTAATAAACAAAAAAAAAAAAAACAATAAAAGCGGCAAATCACAAAAAGCTTAAGGATTTCCTGCGATGCTCATCAAGAACAAAAACTGCATGCATACATAAATACGTACGTACATATTTATGCATGTAGTTATGTACAAACAAATATTCGTTATCGGGCCACAACATCTAGAGCAGAGATTCCCAAACTTTTTACTGATTTCGTAACATAAGCATATATTTAGTCATAATTTTAATGGGATAAATGTACATACTTGATGGGAGGACAGCAAGTTATCAATATTTGGTGAAATATGCATTTAGTGCAAAACATGTCGAGTCGAGTCTCCCGTCCAGTTTCCCGTCGAGTCTCTCTTCCAGTTTGCCATCCAGTCCCCCGTCCAGTTTCGCGTCCATTTTCCCGTCAAGTCTCCCTTCCAGTTTGCCGTCCAGTCTCCCATCGAGTTTGCCGTCCAGTTTCCCATCCAGTTTCCCGTCCAGTCTCTCGTCCAGTCCCTCGTCTGGTCTCTCGTCCAGTCCCTCGCCTGGTCTCTCGTCCAGTCCCTCGCCTGGTCTCTCGTCCAGTCTCCCGCGGAGCACTTTGGGAATCACTGATCTAGAATCACTTCACCATTTCGTTCGTTAGAAGATTGATATGCCATCTTTATTTATACTCGTAGTATACTGCAAATGTCTAACGTTTGGATTGATCTTGTCAGCGGTGCGGCTGTGCGAGTGATTGAAAGAACTTGAAGAGGAAGAAAACAAGAAGTTTATAGCATAATAAGGCGCAGCCAGCGGAAAACATAAATCGTTACGAAGAAGAGCAAGAGTATTGCTAATTTTTTATCAATGAATTTTCGAATGTAAGAAATTTTGTATTTTAATTCAATGTTTCTTTTTCACATTACAAGTTTTGCAGCCGCATTTAAGTTGCCATTCTAAGTTATCAAGTAGCATTTAGTTGTTGTATAATAACAACAGTCGGTTATTAATTGCTAAATATACTTCAGTGCACAGCATAACACTTATAGTACTGTTTTTTAAATTTTACATATACTCATATAATAGACTGGTTTAAAATTATCCACTATTTATGTTTTTTTCAAAATTCCTTTGCGAAATATTTTCGGAAAAGAGACGCCTGTCGAAAGCGTATCGTCACGTTTTCGCGATTTTATGTATTTAAAGTTTCGATTTTTTTTTAATATAGTTCATTCAACATCAAAAGCCTCAAGAAATTTTTTTTTTAAATTTCATAGAAAACTCGGGAAAATGCAAGAAAGTTGCATAGAAATTTAAAATTTTTCAATTCGATTTCTTAGAAAAATCTGGAGTATGCAGTTTTATAGCCAATAAAATTATCATTGATTTTTGAGAACTTTTTACGCTGAAGGGGCTGCTGAGGTGAGAAAATTTGAAATTATTTTTGAAGAAAATTGAAGGCTGTAGAAAACTTCCTCATGATATTTTGACAAATTCACTCCTCCAAAAGTTATTTAAAGTTAAAGTCGAACAAGTAAAAATTTAACGACTTTTTTTTTAATTATCGGGAATAATATCACTTACCTAATATCATATATTTTTTTTTTGTGGAAATTTTATAATTTTGAAATTTTTTTGAAAAAGGGTCATTTAACTTAAATTATCAAGTTTAATTAATTTAAAAAATATTTTTTTTTTATCGTATTAAAGAAATTGACTGACACCGTCAAGATAAAAAATTGCCAAAAATTAACGGTTAGCCAAAGCTACTTCAAACTAGCACTTCATTATACCAAAATTGAGTTGGCTACAAAACTACACATCCAAAATCTTTGTAAGAAATCGAATTAAAAAGCTCAAAATTTTTACTAAAGTTTGTTGAATTTTTTCTAAATATTTCACAAGGTCTAAAATTTGGATTTCAACGGGATTTATTAAAGAATGAACTACATTTTGATTAAAAAATACTTAAAATTAAATAATAATAATGGTCAAAACCTGTCAGTATGTGCGTATAATTGTGATACACACTTTATTAAGCTTTTCGATTCACAAATTGTTAAATGATCTTTCTTTTAAAGAAAATTAAAAATTATTAAATTTTCAATATTAAGGGCTGCGCTTTTGATAGGCACCTTTTTCACTGTCGCGTCAATATTTTAGAAGGCATTTTGAAAAAAAGGATTTAGTAGTATACATTTCTTAACCAGTCTAATGTAATGTGCATACAGTTGACAAACTCATAGGTAAAGCATACATATGTATGTATATACCCAGTGGGAATTAGGAGCACGTAATAATACCTTATTAGCAACTTACTCTTCACCTGGCAGTCATTACCATTTCCCTGCCGAACGTCCCGTCCCTTACTTTTACAAAGGCATGGCCGCCTTATGTAAGTAGGAATTTAGAATGTACATTTGGTATCAGACATACTTCTGAGCCGCTTTACAAAGTAAGTTACGTGTAATGCAGAGCAGTCGCTCGGAGTAGTTCGGTGCTTGGAAATAACTTCAGCTGCACGTTATTTTGCAACTGACAACGTAATGTGTCTTCGGAGGTGTTCATTTTGCCCTTTACTAGTAGATGACATTGGCCATGATGACAATTTTGGTACTAAAAACTGAAAGAAAACATGGCTTACCTCGCAAGGTGCTTACCTATTTTCCCAGTGGGTACATAGTCATTTGTTAAAACCATTACAAAAATAGTTTTAGTTTCACACTTGTTGAACAGATAAATCAAAGAAATGTTGCGTTAGGTACTTACAGTGGAGAGCAGACATGAGTATATGGTGATTTTTGTTAAATATTTACAGAGTTTTTAAAGTTAAAATTTTTTAGTTATTTGTTTCATAAATATATGGCCCAACTTTCATACAGAGCTTAGAAAAATTTACATATTTTCATTAAAATTTTGAGATTTTTAATCTGATATAACAAGCGCAATTTATAAAAACTGGCGTTGATTTTTTTCAATTTTCTTTGCAAGCGATCTGGCGCATTTTTTTCCATAACAAATTCATGCTTGTGTGGAAGAAAGAACAAAAAGCCGCCAGAAATAAAATTTAAAAATCAACCCGACTTTACAGCTTTTTCATAGATCTCGCCATTTAATAAACTTTTGTTTCCACGACTCGGCACCAAAAAAAAAAAAACCAAATCCGTACGTCATGCGGACTGCGCATGCTGGGAAGTTAGCGTACGGAATGACGTAAAACGAAAAAAGAAAAGATGTTCTGAGCAGCCTTTTAATAGTTCTAGAATTCTTGAAAAGGAAAAAAAAGTTCTGCATATTTTGATAAAAAAAAAAATTGATTTGAAAATTGTGTATGCCATACTCACGCAGCATACGACATGTGGCAAAAAGGCAAATAAAAAATTGTTCTGAGCAGCTTTTCAATAGTTCTAAAGTTCCTGAAAAGGAAAAGAAAGTTCTGCAAAATTACGCCGAAAAAACACGTTTTTCGAAAAAGTCAAAACTGTTAAAATTTTGAGAAAAATGAAAATTAAACCTGTTCTGAGTAGCTTTTCAATAGTTCTAGAGTTCCTGAAAAGGACAAAGGATTCTGCAAAATTAAGCCGAAGAAACACTTTTTCGAAAAAGTTGGAAAAGTTAAATTATTGAAAAAAAAATTTAATATTTTCTGAGTTTCTGAGAAGGAGAAAGACAGTTCTGCAAAATTACGCAGAAAAAACCCTTGTTTCGAAAAGGTTAAATGTTTGAAAAAAAATGAAAATTAAATCTGTTTTGATTAGCTCTTCAATAGTTCTAGAGTTTGTAACGTAGCTCCCCTACGCTACACTGACAGACATACGTACATGCATACATAAAACCCACAAGTACATACATACGTACATACATATCCACATCCAGCCATACATACGCTACATATTTATATACATACATACAGATCTACATACATACATACACCCATATGTATGAACAACCAAAGGGAAGCACGCAAAAGTGCAAAGCATTCATACACACCAATACTCAGCGTGAATTCGTTGCTCAAACATGCCAAAAATCACGATCTTCATTCACTTCTCAACCTGCTTATCCAACAACCGACTTAAGTTGATTAACGCCAACTCAGCCAGCACCAGCTTCCGTAGGTAAGCACGGAGCGCATCGGGACGGCTTAGGCCGTGTAACCTCGAGCGCCCTGGCTTGTCCTGCGGGCAAGGCCGAGAGGTTGAGGGGGGCCTGTGAAAGGGGGAATACCCCTTGCACAGACCCTCAAACCCATTATTTTAACAACGGTCTCAGTGGACAGGAGACGAACTCTCCTGCCCACTTAGATACCGCGTGGCGAGCGGGCATTGTGCGGTGGATAAAACCGCCCCACAATGTCAAGCCACCACGATCGAATACGTACCGTCTCACCCCAATGGGTAAGCACGGGGCGCATCGGGACGGCTTAGGCCGTGTAACCTCGAGCGCCCCTGGCTCTGCACATGGGGAATACAGACTGGCCAAGCTGCCGTAGGTAGGCACGGAGCGCATCGGGACGGATTAGGCCGTGTAACCTCGAGCGCCCCTGGCTCTGCCTACGGGACAGGTTGGTGGTTTGTGAGAACATACTGACGACCAGCTTCCGTAGGTGACTTCCGTGACCGTTTCGGACCGCCAATATTAAGTGCCGCCCTGGGCCAAGACTACAACAAGGAACCACCACCGACTATCATTAACGAGGGCCGCTAGCAACATCATCGCCATCCAGGGCCGTTGTCACCGTCG